CCCTCCGCACCCCACCCGCGGAGGTTCGATGCGCGCAGCTTCCGGATGCTCGGGCCTGCCACCGCCCGACGCCCAACCCCAAGCCTCTCTGGCGGCGCGCGGTGACACAGGCGTGCGGAGCCGATCGCCGAGCTCGCTGAGCAGGCTTTGTGTGCCCGCAGTCGGTGGGTACCCGCCCCGGCGGGAGGAGCTGGCGCCCGGCTGGACGGAGCGGCCTGGCGCCCCTCCCCCGGCCCCGCGGGGCACTCACAACCGTGGCCTCCACTCAGTCATGTGGCGACGTCTACTCGCCGAGGCTTCCTGCCCTCGGCTCCGTCCCAATCCACGAGCCTGTGCTCGGCGCTGGCCGTGCTTCGCGGCATGCCGGGCACTGGGGCAAGGGGTGAGCACAGACGTCTGCCTCGGGCCGCCACGTGCTTACAGCCTGTGGGGTGGCCCCGGAAACGCCCGGGGCTTGCACCGCACGGTGGTCTTTGTTGAGGAGAAATAGTTCGCGTTTGGTAGCCAGGAGGTGGCAGAGGGGTTATGGCACGAAGTGGCCACGTTCCAGGTCCATTAGATAGATCCCAGTTCTCTCTGCTACTTCCCGGCAAAGGAGAGCTGGGCTGTAGGACTAGCTAAGCCCGCGAAGATGCGTTCTATTCTAGTGGGAAGAGATAGTAGAAGCCAGTAAATCCCAACTCATCAGTAAACTGTGAAGACCAGGAGCCGGGCACTACCTCTCTTGGGGGTTGGGAGTGGGAAAGAATCTGGGAAGGCTTCACAAAGGTGGCTGGCTACTTAGAGCTGGGCCTTAAAGTACGAATGTGATTTAGCTGGATCCCAGACACTACATTTTCACCTAGGTTATATCTTACCTAAAGCCAAAACGAACTCAGCTCTCTTCCCACTGAGCCAAACAAGACTTTAATTGCATCTTTGATTTACTGTCACTGTATTGGTCTTGGATTTGCCCAAATTCCAGATACCTATGGTCTCTTAGAAATAAGATATTTGAATTATATGTTATAGGTGTCCAGATCCTTAAAATTTTGCAACAAAATATGCTAGGTTTGAATAGGTAAAATATGCATGTTTTTCTTCCCACACTTTTCCTGATCCTACTTCAAAGCATATGTAGTTTCCTTGCAGGGGAATGTAGGATGTAACCAATAGGCCCAGGTCCATATCCTACCCTGCTTGCTGTTCACCATCATGAGACCTTGGACGACCCCCTGAATTTAGCTCTGAGTCTCGGTGTCCTCAACCGTAAGATGGGATAACATTGCTGCCCTGCCAACACCAGAGGCATGGAATAGGAGCTTATCATTAGCTGAGGCCTGCAGTTCTACAGCCCTTCATGTCAGCTGGTTGTCCTGCGCATGGCAATTTACTTCATAAGTTTTGCCTATATAATAATGTGCTCTCCTAGCATCATCCCCCCTTGTGATAGGAGTCCCTCTGGCTCTGTCCACAGAGGCTCCAGGCCCCAGGCTGCTGGCACAGTGGGGCACTCTGCAAGGTCCTGTTGCAAGAAAAGAGCATGCCTTTAGCCAGGGACTTGTAGATTTGTTCAATAGCAAATCCAAACTTGTTGCAACAGAGCAGCTAGATTCCAGTAGGTGTTTATTCTACAATGCACTCTACTTTGAAATGCAGCCAGTGTAGTAGTCCAGTTTCTGTCAGGCTAGTACTTTTCTTTGTTGTTCTTACTGTTGTTAGAAGAGACTCTTGTCACAAGTTTTTAAAGATATTTCAGTAAACCCAATGTCACAATAGGTTTCCTTTTAGTGTCCAGGTCAGTATTATACATATGCACAGTTTCAATGCAACAAACATTTAAAAACTAATTTCCAATTTAGCACACGTCAATTTAGTTAGAACCAAGAGTCCTATCCATTTCTCCACTTTGTTCCGACATAAAATCCTGTCTGGCGGTGGCAATAAGGTTTCTAACTTCTTTTCGCAACAAGTCTCTTGGGCCTGTCTCAGTCTACCATGCAGATGCTGGTTGCAATAAACCAACCAGGGTTCCCTTTGTTGCTGTAATCTCCCAGGCCTTGGGTGCAATTCAATATCCAAGTCCTCTTTACAATAACATCAACCAACTCACAGCTGCCCCTGACAACCCAGCCAAGGGCAGAAGAGGGTCAGTTACAGGGGCAGGTGGGCATAAGCCTGCTTCCCTTGGGACTCAGGCCTAACAGTGCTGTGCAGACTTTAATGTGCAAACGAATCACCTTGGAAAACACTTAAAAGGCAGATTCTGATTCAGCAGGTTTGGGGTGTCTGCATTTCTAACAAGCCCCGAGGTGCTGCTGCTGCTGCTTTAAACCACTGTTTGAGTAGTAAGATCTAGAGCACACAGGTCATAGGCTCCCAGACTGCCAGTCCAGCTTGGAACCAATTCACAAATGTCTCAGTGAAATGATGCCATTGATGCTCCTGCTTGCGCCTGCATTTGTGTGGGAGGGAGGTCAGGACAGAAGTCAGGGGACTTGAAGCCCCAAAGCAGACAAGGCTTGTGAGCGCAGATCTGGCTGTAGGGTTCTGAAGGATGTCTGTGGAGGAGCAAGGTCAGGGGGTGGACTTATTCTGTCCATATCAGGAAGGAAGGTTGACTCAGCAGCAGGAGGGATGGAGCTGAGGGTGCTAGCGGAAGGGCTATGTGATCTAGTGGCAACAACCTGGGTTTGTATGCAGGGGTCCTGGGTTTGAATTTTGCTTTTGGCAAATGACTTAACTAGAATTACTAAGCAAAAATTTTTTCCACTGTAAAAATACAAATACAAATAGCTATGTTATGGGGTGGTAAAGGAGATCATCTGTATCAAAACCTCATTAGGTTCAACGGAAATGTCAGTTCCTTCCCTTTAAACTTTGAAGAGAGAGTAGAGGGGTTTGGCTCCAGCCCTCAAGCACTGTGTGACCTACTCCCATCACCACTTCTTGGCCCCCGGTTACCCCCACTGGAAAATGCAGGAGAGGAAGATGGGTGTTTAGACCAGTGGTTTGCAAAATGGTATCTCTATTGCCCCATCTAATAAGTGCCACCCAAAATGAAAGAGTAGCCATGCTTTTATGCATTTTAGGAGCAGTCAGAGTGGTTATGAATCAGAGATAACAGGGTCTGAGTACCTGCTCCATCACGAACACACCGTGTCACTTTAGGAAAGCTATCTAATTGACCTGAGTCTTTGTAAGTCTGTAAAATGGGGTTCCTCAGTTTCCATGTCTGTAAAATGGGTTGTAATGAGGAATGAATTAATGTATTGAAAGTGCTTTGAACAAAGCCTGAAACATAATAAGTGTTTGATAAAATTGGTTATCACTGCTCCGGCTGGTGTGGCTCAGTTGATTAGAGCATTGTCCCGTGCACCAGAAGGTGGAGGGTTGGATTCCCGGTCAGGGCACATGCCCGGGTTGCAGGTTTGATTCCTGGTTGGGGCTTCATACGGGAGGCAACTGATTGATGTTTCTCTCTTCCTTTTTCCCTCTCTAAGATCAATTTTATAAAAATTGTTTATCACTGTATTTATTATATTATATTTGGAGTGATATTTATTTATTTTGAGAAAGAGAGCAACATTGATTTTGTTCCACCCATTTATGGGGATAGAACCCGCATCTTTGGTGTACTGGGACAACGCTCCAACCAAGTGAGCTACTTGGCCAGTGCTTGAGTGATAATTAGTTTGAGAAAATGGGTTCCTTTGCAGTGAGCCTCTAAGGTACCAGCATTATGCCCTGGCACTACTACAATGGGTGAGGGCAGCTGGGATGGGCTTGGGAGCCAGGTTACCTGGGTTTGAGTCCCACCTCCACCCTTATCAACTCTGTGACCTGTTGCACGTTACTCAACCTATCTGTGCCTCAGTTTTCTCATCTGTAAAGAGGGATGTTGATAAATCAGTTAATATATGTGATATATGTAATATATTAATAGTAGGTACTGTTGGCTACTGTGTGTTTACTATTAGTATGATAATATTAGTTATTTTTCTTTAAAATGCTTGTTTTATAACTATATAATATCCTTCATAATAAAATTTTATTTATTTATTTGTTAATCCTCACCGAAGGATATTTTTCCATTGATTTTTTTTTTTTTTTTTTTTTTAGAGAG